GCTAACCCAGATTTCGGGGGTTTCCAGAAAACTTGACCTACACCAAAATTGGGCATTGCTCTACCTATCCTAGAGGAGAAGTCTGGTTTCATTGGTGTGTATGTTTGGTTAAAGATAAAACTCTCCTTGTCTGTTAAAGAAACTGAACAAGGGGCAAAAACTTTAACTTCGATTTTTTCAAAACAGCGTTTTTCGGGATAGCCCCCTTGTGCTTAAAAGCGACCAAATGATCTAAGTTGTATCGATAAGGGTGTGAAATCACCTACATCCTACATTTAAAAAAAACCCCCCCCCCCCTCAAATTTTCAAAACAATCTCCGCTTCTACAGCCTGCCAGAAACTGCTCTCCTCAAACTTTCGCTCAACTGTCAGATGAACAATTCATCAAGTCTGTTTTGCAGTGGCGGAGCGTAGTTAAGGGCTAAAGGGCTTAAGCCCCCCCCTTCCCAATTCCCTCCACCACCACGGCTCCAACCCATCACCACTACCCAACCTCCCCCCCTCACCACCGCCCACCCCAACCCTAGCCCTAAAACTAGCAAAATACCCTTTCTACGAACGGAGAAATACTAATAGTGTAAGCTAGGCGGTCGAGTATTCGAGTGGTAGCAAGTGGCGAGATAAGAATCGAGAACTGGAAACTGTGTGTATAGGTTCAATGTATAGATCTAGATCTAGATCTTCCAAGACTGGCAAGGGAACAGGCCTACAACTCCTTTGTGGAGCACATATCAAACTGTAGGACTAAAGAAAGACAGACACTCTCTCTTTCACTTTCCGCCTCCACTTTCAAATAGGTTTCGATAGATCTAAAAACATCAAGGTAGTTGGCATGTAAAAAATGGATTTCATAGCGAATCAAAAGTGGGTCAATCAAAAACACGTCTTCCGGTCCCATTACGGCAGAAATGCAGGTTTCGACGGCAATGTGAGACGGTAATTATTTCAGAAACTGATTTAATTTACACAGCGCTTATCAAACTTCTAAAATAGCCCCATGCGGGACAATTGGCTAATTTTTGTATATATGTGTATTTTTCCAAAACGATTTGTATTGTCACAAAAAAGCCTTTGTGGGCAGACCTTTGGCCTCACCTTTTATTGTGGTTTGATGATAATCGGTTAAGCACTCTTTGGTTCAAATAGTTCAGACTGCTACAGAATTTCCTGCCTCTAGTTGCATGCAGTGAACACGTGTATTCGCTCAGTTATCCGATCCCTGAAAGCAGGGGACTGGAAATTGCGCAGGTTTTATTACGTTATCCAACAGATTACTCAAAAAGCCACCTTTCCTTTGTATGGTCAATAGCGCTGGTTTTTGGGTGTGGTATCGATTATGAGGTAGCTGTGGTCGGATCAGAATCCCGACCTCTGCCATGTTTAGTTGACTGAGTGGTCACTGAAAACCGTCTGGTGATTTAGTCTTAGAAGAATAAGAAAATAAGTAAACATGTTTGAGGTCTTGTACAAATAGACGTGTGTGCCCGATGTAATTTAGTTGAGCCCAAAAGGAAACATAAAATGAAGGTATTCATGACAGAGAAATGACGAAAAGGGCTCCTTCACAGAGGTTTTCACTACAGACTGGCAAGAAAAGTACACGGTGGAGGCACACAAGGAAAGACTGTACTACCAGCATCACACTAGTGACGAAATAACAGTCGAGACAATTGGCTAACGGAAGAGGTCTACTACTTGAAATTATTTTAAAGAATTTCAAGTCGGTACCCTGTCGAATATCTGCGCAACCTAAGAAATACTCGATACCGAACATCCCCGCGCAATTTTCCCACAGGTTTTAGAAAACTCCTTTGAACTTTTTAACAATAGGATTAAAAACCTGAGCAATTTTCCGCTGCCCTGAAAACAGAATTGAAATTACTCTAACGACCATCTGTATAAGACAACCATTTCTCCAGCTCATGGCCACTTTCCATTTTCTGCCTTGTTGATCTTCTACTCGGAATGACATACTGTGTCTCTGTAAGACTTGCATCTGTCTAAGACGGCCTTGGTTCTTCTCAACACAGGGTGTTCTTTTTTAGTCTTTATAGTTTAGTAAGAGTTTTACGGCACTGGCAACACAATAAGGTCATATAAGTGCCGAAGAATAGAGGTGTTACAAGAGAGGAACATACACACAAAAAAGGAGGAGAGATAAGGACGATAGATGTTTGATAGGAAAGAAGAAGCAAACCACACTAGAGAACCCGACAACCACCCACAGAGGGTGTTCATCTCAGATAGCTTCCACTGTATCTGCATCTGCATGAACAACGAGATTTTGCCCCAAGACAGTGCTTCTTCAAGCGATGTGGAATGGCTGGAATGCGTGTGTTGATTGAATTAGCCAAGACTTCACACAGACGACGGGTAGGGATACTCTAATATGGACGTGGGCTTTACGACATCTCAGGGGCCAGAGAGGGTTAATGGGAATACTGCTGTTCACAGAACGTGTGGAAAAGTACAGTGGGGGGGAGTGGAGTGGAGGGGAGTGGGGTAGGAGAGGGGGAGTGGGGAGTGTGTTTATTGAGTTAACTATTCAGACGACGGGTAAGGAATATTCTAATATGGACGTGCACTTTACGACAGCTCAGGGTGCAAAGGG